ACATCTGGAGGGATTTAGGTTGGATAGGGCTGACTTTGAAAAGACTAGACAAATAGGCAAATACAGAGAATAGTATGGCACAGTTGAACTAGGTCTCAAGAGATTCAGCCATGAAGGTCACTGAGGGACTCCGGGCCAGTCAACACTCTCAGTCTAACCTACTTCACAGGGTTGTTGAGAAGGTAAAATTGAGGGGGGTTATATAAACTGCCTTTGGTTCCCTTCAGGTAAAAGGTGGGATAGATATAAACCTGGCTGGCTGGCTGGCTGGCTGGCTGGCTGGCTGGCTGGCTGGCTGGATAGATAGATAGATAGATAGATAGATAGATAGATAGATAGATAGATAGATAGGAAATATATATGCATTGATAAATAATGGTGTAGATATCAAATTGAGTCATAAATAACATTGCTGTGGAAGACTTCCCCTTATGTCCTGAAGCTGCCCCACCTTGTGCAGGCCAAGATACAGATGGAGAAAGGTGAGCATCTTGGCAAAGGACACGGAGGAAAGGCAGGGCTCGCTGAGTGCCAAATGAGATGCTCATGTTCCATGTGCTCTGGAGGCAGCATTTTCCCTGAAAGCATTTCTTTCTCATGTTACACTAAAAGTGCCCCTTTCTCTTGTCATGGGGTAAAAAAAATAGAAGGAAGATATTTAAGGAATCTGATAGGCATGCATCTCTTATATAGGCTGTATGGTTGGAAAGTGTATGTATTTGCTGGGGCCCACACTACTTGAGGAACCCAGCCAACAGTGCACCAAGCCTAAGACCTTGCAAGACAATTATTTGTTTGTTTGATCGATTGATCAATTGATCAATTGATTTTATTTCTATGCTGCCCCATAACCCAAAGATTTTCTGGGACTAAGTGGCTCAGGAAGTCTTCCTCAGCTGGGTGCCCTATATTGGATTGCAGTAGGGTAGGACTGGGCAAGCTTATCCCCAAGTAGGGCTGGACAAACTCCTGCCTGAAACATGAGAGTATCACTATTGGTCTGTGCGAACAATGCCAGGCTAAATGGGCCAAGGGTCTGTCATAGAATTTGGTACACAAGGGTGTTGCTCCACTGTATGTCATTTCAATTTCCTGGCAGAATTATGTTCCATGCACTACATGAAGAGTATTTAGTTTCTTGCCTTTACCCTAAATAATCTCCAAGTGACTCTAATGCAAATGCCCAAGAGGAAATTGTGCTTTCTTTTGATTTCACAATTGGATGCTGCATTTTTCCTACACTAAAAGAAAACCTATTGAAAGTCCTGGTTAGACACAGAAGCAAAACTGGAGAGTCATAGATCTGTATATCTATTAAAAGCTTTTCTAACCTGTCCACTACAAACGGCTTATAAAAAATCTAAAAAACCAATAAATAACTGTGGTGAGAGGGTGTATTTCAACACATCTGGAGGGTATCACACTGGAAAAGGCTGTCCTAGGGATTTCTAATAGCCACCCAGGAAAAATAATATTTCGCTTTCACCAGGTAACTAATACTGGGCTAAACCCCTCTGAGAATTCTTAATTTCTGCAGCTCCACTTATGCCTACCCAGATTTTATGAGGCTTCACCCAGAAGCTGCTAGATTTCACCCTGGCTCTGCCACTGAACCACCAGGTTCTACACTCAGCCCCTTCTTAGAAGGACAATATTCTTGGAAATCAAATACTGCTTGTCTGGTCACTGACCCAGGTGCTGGGGGGAATCAGGCCATACATTCCCTTTTTTCCTTGACCTATGCTAGCAAGGAAGAGGGAACCCAGCATTTCCTTGCATCTGTGGTGGCAGTGATACATGTCCTGGTAGCAAGTGGATTTGCTTGCTATTTCAGGTGAAGGTAAAATGCAGGAACAGCTAAGGTGTACATACCATAATATCAGCTCCTTTAAATATATTGCTGGGGAGATAGTTGCATTCAGCTGTAAATGCATCACACTCAAGTGCAGTGCAGTCCTCTGCATGTTTACACAAAAGTAAGTGGTAATATATTCAATGAGATTTACTTATTACTTTACTTAACCTTATTTACAGGTTAAGCCTTAAACTCATTTAACAAGTGCAGTCCTTAACAGTGTTGAATGTACATGATTTTTTATGCGCATCCATTTAAAATGTAGTTAAATCCAGTTTAGTGCTCTGTTCATCTATGAATCTCACTGGGTGACATTGGGCAAGTCATAACAGCTCGGGCTATCCAACCTTACAGGATTGTTGTGAGGTTAAAGTGCTACCCTGAGCCCCTTGAGGGAAGTGCAGGATATTAATCAAGCAGAGAAGACATTGGGACAAACTGCGTTCTAATTGTGCTTAAGCATCCTACTTAACATACAGATAAAGCAACAGTGTTTGCAGAAGTATGATAACTTTAAAGTACTGATCTGGCTGCTTCTTTCCACAGAACTGCATGAGCAAGCATCACCTTCTGGCCACCATCCGTCAAATACAGCAATTTCTAAAGGGGCAGGAAACACGATTTACAGAGGGAATACGCATTATGAAACACCGGCTGACAACTCTGCAAAATTCAGTGACTAAAGCTACCCCAAACCCACCAACAGGTAGAACTTCAAAGTGGTGATGATGAGGCAGGGACAGGTAGAAGCCTATTGCTCCTTGTGTTGCTTGGACCTTGAGTTCGTAACTGCAATACCAGTTTTTAGCCACCTGCAATGATGGTGCTGAAAGCACCGCACAGGCGATATTAGTAGCCCCAACCTTTAACATAGGGCTGGGGAAGAGGAGGTCCTCCAGATGTTGCTCAACTGGAACTCTCATCGGCCCAAGTCAGGTTGGTCAATGTTCAGAGATGATGAGAGTGGTAGCTGAGCAAAAACCAGAGGATTACCATTTCCCCGCTCTCAATCTAGCAAGCTATTACACTTGGATCCTATTGTCAAAGTCCTCCACTGGAACTCCTGTGCACTGTAGAATGGAAAGGCCTAAGGGTTGGTTCCAAGGTGGAATGAATTTGGGTACCTATGTTCAAATGGAAATAACCTGAAAAAACACTGCTTCATTGTGTGATGGAGACTTAGGTTACTGTCACTGTGGAGATGTGGCACTAATCTCCATCCCCTGATGTTAATTTATGAATTTATTTATTCAATTTCTATACCGAGTCAAAACTCTCTGGATGGTGAACAATGATAATTGCTGAGTTTTTGCTCGGTTTACTAATGAATAAGTAGCAATTGGAATGAGGAATCATTTGCTTCCCCAACATCAATATATAATGTGCGTGTAACTGATGTTCTGAAAGGATGGGAAGTTAGCAAGAAAACAACAACAACAACAACAAATCATTCATAGCTTTTGGGTTTTTGCAATTCTCTTAATGAAGCCTTACAATGAATGTAATGAAGCCTTACAGTGAATGCGATGAATATTATGATAGAAAGTGTTATCTTTGCTAGGCATTTCTCCCTGGGATACAAGGCCTTGGTGAATCTTGTACCAAGAACATCATCTTCCAGTCATACTGATGGACCACAAACAGCAATGAGAGTGTTTGCATTTTTTTCTCTGTGCATCTGTCCCAAAGCAGAGATCTGCTTTGTCTGCAGTATTCCTCTGTGCTGAGCCACCTCCAAGCATTCTTAACCAACATTCTTCATATGCGTAAGATGATTTGGTGGCTCTCCTGTTTTCTATTTGGTAGAAAGTTTCAGCAGATGCCATTTCTGCTGGTCAGTTTCCTTCTGAAAAGAGGGAACTAGAGAATTATACTGTGTTTTGTAATATTTGTAAATTACAAATTGGGAGTGGAGGTGGGGGAACAGGCAGGCATTTGGAGAGACAGAAGTAGCAGCGTTAACTCCCTGCAAAGCAAACAAAATGGTGCTGGACAGTTCATCCACTAGCCTGAAAACTATTTATCCTCTTCTATGGTTATATTCCAACTTCCAAATTGTTTCTCACCAGCCTCGCCAAAGAGGTAGAGTGGGTTAATGGCTAGCAGCCACAGCCAGCCATGCAGGTCCAAGCAACCTTTTGTAAACATTAATGGAGGGCACTGGGCATCCTTCTGCATTTGGCCCAAATGCCAGTGCTCACTGCTGGAGGAAGAAATTCAAATTGTTCAAGGCTCCATCAAGCCTGTACACAGCCCCACATCACTGGCCAAGTTTGGTACCTCTTCCCCAAAAGGGGAAGGATTCAGTGATGGTTGTTCTAAAATGTCACTAGGGTTGCAAGGGTTTTTGGTTTTTTGCCGCTGTTATTGAGTGTCTTGGTCGCTACTTCCTGCAACCCACAATGGGATTGGTTTTTCAGGTTTGAATGACACAACCCATTGTGGGTTAAAGAACTCCTCAAACAAGCAAACCTGTGGGAAGCAGTCTGGATTTGGACAACACGGCAACATGCTGTGGGTCATTACAAGTAATGGGTTCCAATGTTGTCCAACCCCAGTCTCTATGTTGAAAGGATTGTTATCTCAGAAGAAAGTTGGAGGTTTATGAGAGTGTTTTCAGGATAGACACAGAAAGCCTTCAGGATGGCATTAAAGTTAATTAATGCTGCTGAATGTCCAGTGAAACAGCACATGGTTCAGAGTCAAAGGCATACGAAACCCAATAAGAAACAGCAATACAGTCCAGCAATGTGGTCCTCTAGCTGTGCACAAGACTAGAGGGACCAAGGATCCATTTCAGTGTAAGGCTGCATCCTTTATTCCTCACTACAGTGCTCAAGTAGTCACCACAAGGTCCTAGGAAAAGGCCCAAGTAGATTTGGAAAATTACATATACAGTATAGCATCCAGGGAAATTATTCTAAATTCTTAAATCCTTGTTATGTGCCATAAAGCACAGAAACACATCTCCAGAAACTGAGAAATGTCTTGAAAGTGAGCCATATCATTTCAGAGTGGCTTGTTGTGTTGTCTCTGAACCCCACTTATGCTGGGTTAAGCATGCTGTTGAGTTCAGACAACATGACAAGCCATTCTAAAATGAACATGGCTCACAACCCAGCAGGGCTTATTGTGTGCTGTTAGCCCAGAATGGGCCAATGACTGAATTTGGCAGGAGCATACCCAACATGGCTAAATGGGTAGTTGTTGCAGATAAGATTGGGAAAGATGCTAATACATCTTGTTGCCAGAGGGATGTTGCTTGAGTTGGTCATCAATATCTGCTTTTGAATCCAAGTTGCATCATGGTGTAGAAAGCAAATGATGACTTCAGCATGATGTGAATCAATCATCCATCAACTATCAACAAGTACAAAGACCTTACCATAATAAATCCGACTTAATTTCTTCTGAGAGTGACTAACTAGGTATCTTCTAACCCCTGTCTGACCCAACTCTGCTTGTAGTGTTCTGTTCTAAACTGGATGCCCCACTGAATGGCAAAAAATTTGGCACCAAGAATATGGTGGACCATGAAGTACATTTCACTTGTGATCCTGGATTTCACCTTATCGGTTCCAGTTCTCGGGTGTGCCAGCCAAATGGCAGCTGGTCTGGAGAGATTCCTCAGTGCAAAGGTACTTTGTCCCTTTATTCCCTTGGCCAGAGCATACATGCCTTCCACCCAGTCATTAAACAGGACAGTACATGACATAATTTGTAGAATGCCATCAAAAGAGACATGCTTATGTAAAACCTTATTCCTGATTAATGTGCAAGTTTAGGATCAAACTAGAGATGTTGTTAATTGTATAAATGCATTTAATGTGCATGTTCTTATTATGTGAAAAGCAGTAATGGAGAACAGTCTTGGGAAGCTGGGATCACTGGGGTTAGGAGGAGTACCTCTCAGCTTAGAAAAAGGGTGAGTAAGAAGCCATGATAGAAGTATATAAAATAATGTATGATGTAGAGAACCTGGGGTCATCTACGTCATACATAACTGATGTAGTATGATGTAAATGTTGAACCAATTGGAAACAGTGACTATACTGCTATCAGATTTACTATAACTATAAGTGGAAAATTAACAAAGAAGTCCAACAAGTCACATTTTACTTGAAAAGAAGGGAAGGTATTGGCAAAAAGAAGTTGAATGGGGGAGTCTAGAGGGTTAAATTCCTTCTAAATGCTTAGAGGCTACTGAAAACCTCAATAATAAATGTTCAGCTAGAAAGCATACCCCTACAAGGATCTCTATGGGGACTGGGGTTGGGATGAACCCTAGCAGAATCCATCCCTATAGCATTTGTGGACTTCTGTTCATGCTCATCTGGTCTTGCAAACTGAGTCCTGGAAGCAAGGTTGCACAATCAGCATCCTCCTTGCTGCTGGGTCTGCTTAGTTCAGAAAAAAGGCATGTTAGGGGAGACAAGTCAGAAATGTACAGAATTATGCATGGTGTGGAGAAAGTCGACAGAGAGACCCTTTCTCCCTTTCCCAAAATATTAGAACCCAGTGGAATCATTCCATGAAGCTGATTGGTGGGAGGGTTAGGGCAGATGAAAGGATGTAGATCTTCACTTACGTGCTTCAATTCCATGAGATGTCATGATGGGCACTAGTTTGGTTGGCTGTAAAGGGGATTGGACCTATTCATGGAAAAGGAGGCTATCAGTGGCTAATGGTCCTGATGGCTCTATGCTGCCTCCAGGATCAGAGGCAATATGGTTATGAACACCAGGTGCTGGGTAACATGGGCATGAAAGTGCTTTTGAACTCATGTCCTGCTTATGGGTTTCCCTTGGGCCAGGGTGTGATCCATATGCTGGAACAGAGGGACCCTTGGTCTGATCCAGCATAGCTCTTCTTAAGTTGTTAGGCAAGGTAAGAAATGCTAGACAAACAGAAGGAAGTAATTTGTCACACAATACTTGGCTATGGCTTTGAAAGGGGGTTAGACCGATTCATGGAGGCTAGGGCTAACAATGGCTACTAGTCACGATGACTATACATTACCTCCAGGGTTAGAGGAAACATACCTCTTTGTATCAGCTGTTGTGGGACACAAGCAGGAGGCTGTTGTGATGCTTATGCACTTCTTGTAGGCTTCCCATAGGTATCTGGTTGGCCACTGTGGAAACAGAATGAAGGACTAGATGCGCCTTTGGTCTGCTCCTACATGATCCATCTTATGCTATTAACAGCCACAATCTTAACAAAAATTGCTTTTCTGAAGCCACTCTTTGTACTTCAAGGAAAGTTCCCATTGGAGGTTTCCCAGAAAATGTAAATAGCCAGTTCAGAACTACCCTATTTGTCATATGGTCAAGATGGGCTGATCTAGGTTTAACTTTATAAACTGTGAGGAACACTGGGAAGGGAGCAATGGCTAAGAAATTTGTGACTCTACCCTCAAATACCACTAGGATATGCTTAATAGCATGGAAACAGGATAGGCTGATACAGACAATTGATCTATGAATGGACTTCTCATCCTTCTTTTGTTCTATCTAAAGCAGTAAAGGTGTGGATCTTTATACATGCCAATTGGTGGAGCGATAACTCTAATCCATGTAAATTAAAACAAAATGGTCCTTATCCTTAGAGAGCAATCCCAAGGCCTCCTGACATCCTCCAGGAGGCCACTGGATTCTTCAAAGTCCCAGCCCTGAGATGCTTTAATCTTGGAGTTGGGTCTCAGAAGGCTGCTCTGCCCCTTTGCAGCCAAAATGGAAAGAACTGTGCAAAAGGGCCTCAGAGGGAGGAAAGGGGGGCATGCCACAGGTGCAGAAGGGAGGAAGTTAGGACCATGGAGTTACTCCATGTCCAATCTATGACCCAGCTACCCCCTCCTTGGCACCAAAACTAGATAGCCAAAAATAGCTGTCTAGAGAAATTGCAAGGGCAAAGTGTGGTACTGTGAGTTAAGATTCCTCCCTTTGCACATTCAGAGCCACAGCTCTTTCTTGCAACATGTTCTTTATTAACCAAAACCCTTTCTAGATGCACACACACCCAGAGCATGCACAGAGCAGTTCATTATACCCAACCTAGTATTCACTTCCAGGAATTCTCCTTATCAGCATGTTTGGGCCCCATCCCTTTGAGAGGGGCCCCCTGAAAGTGAGCATGCCTCCTTGCTGCGTGCCAATCCTCTAACTCGGCTGCCCTCCTCTGCCAGTCTGGATCAACATGTCATGGGGTCCATAACCATGCCTACCTCATCTATGTTTGAGAAACTTCCCAGTTCCAAGTGCCCTCTTGATAACTGTACTTCTTGATTATTCCCACCCGGGGACTGTTTGTCTGGCCATGAGATAAGTGTCTCCACCTCCCCCATCTCAGAGAGGTGACAGCCCACATTTCAAGCCCCCACCCGCATGTCTCTTCCTCTGCCTCTGATTCTTCTTCTGGAGACCAGCCAGCAACCTTTGAAAATGTGAGCCCAAAGCAGCCATCTTTCTCACTCCCAACATGTAGCAAAGATCACTGCTGCTGCCTCACTCCTTTGGATGTGTTTATGCTTCAAAGTGCAGAGTCTTGTGTGCATCCACCACAGGGTCACAGGATTACATCCTGCATTGATTAATTTGGACTTTAAAATGCAGCCTTGTATAGATTCCTTAAGAGAAGTATGCCCTGAATATTGTCAGTAATCCTGATTCCTTGTGACTATTATTCATTGTGGTTATAAATCAAATCCTTCAATAGATATTGTAATTACAGATGCCTGCCTGCTTCTGATCGGCATGGCACACAGACAGCAATATTATAATGTGATGATTTGCAAACCTGACTTTCTGCCAATATGTGGCTTATCCAGGTTGGCAAACAAGGAAATTATACATAATTATCCCTATTAAAAATTATTTACTTGGCAGAAGAAGTTCTGTGATTATGAATATGCGCAGTGGCCATGGAATGTTGGCTAAGTGTGTTGGGTCAGGGTGGGGGCAGGAAATGAACAAGAAGAGGGAAGGTGAATGTGTGGTTGGAATGAGGAACAGGGAGCAATCCAGGCTGCAACATTTTGTTGCATTTGTTAGCATTTTGTTGCATGACTCGTTTCCTCTTAAGAGGCTGGTCCTTCCACATCCCTTGCCAACTGATGGAGAATTTTTCATTTCAAGCATTGGACTGAATTAAAATGTATATCTGTTTAACAGTGTATAGAACAATTTCTCTCTCCTCCCCCCACCCCACCCGGCAATACATTTGCGACTATTTTCCTGACTTTAAAAAGAAGTAGTAGTTAACTGGATGCAAACATTCCTGCCTTGGTCTGTGTGTTTTAAATTTTCACACGGTCCTCTTTAGGCCACTTGGAGCATTCAGTCCCTGCACATGGACAGCAGGGTTTGTTTAAGCGAATTCCTACATCATTGTGTGAAATGCTAATGAGCCATTGAGCCCCTGCCTGAGCTTTCCAAGGACAGAGGGCTGCAGTTCACCATTGTGGCTGAGAAGATAGAAGTTTAGTCTCTAAAAGAGATTATGGCATGTGGTATTATCCAAGGAGACTAGAAGCAATTGAGTGACAGGAATAAGGACAGTGATCTGTATGATCTACATAGATTCTCTTTTCTCATTTCTCTCTCTCTCTTTGTCTGCATTCTCTTTCCTAGGACACATATGCAAAGAGTTTAACAGCTGGCTTTTGCACAGGGGAGCCCTTCCACTGTATTTGTTCCCTTTCAAACACCTGAGCAGTGACTATCGCTTGCATTACAACACCTCTTCCCTTTGCCTAGCCCAGGTGTTGCTGAGGTCCAGTGCACATTCTCATCACATCAAGCCAGATGGGAATCTCGGCTTTGTGGAAAGTTCAAGGACATGGGGGGGGGGGCGGGGTGGTTACAACTCCTTGTCTGCTTCCTCAATAACTTCATGGTCTGGTGACCCCTGATTATTTAGAATATTCTATTGATGATGAGCAGGAGAACTTGGCTTTGAGCAGATGCAAAGCAACTGCAACCCACAAAGCATTCACAGCTCTCTTCTAGAAGGAATTCCACCACACTAATTATTTTGACACATAATAAGCTGGGAAGAGGTGGAAGGGGGCCTTAGGTGAATAGGAATTTGGGGGCAGCTTGGCCCAATTCTTGCAAATGAAGGGATTCTGTTGGACTTTGCTTTTTCTCTTCAGAGTTTTTGCTTTCAAGAAATAAAATGTAGACATTTCAAACATGGAAGAAACTGCCTAATCCTTACAGCAGCCATCCATATTTCAAGCATTCTGCTGGTATCTTGTATTTCCTTTGGGCAACATTCCCCTCTCCTTATAGAAATGTCTTCAGATGAGAGTTGGAAAAGGCAGCCATTTGGTAGAGGATGGTGCTTTGGCAGTCTTTCCAATACAAGACTGTCCTCTGTAAAAGACATCCTGTCTGCCTCCCTATTTCCAAGATCAGGAGGAAGGCTGAGGAGGGCAGTGGGAAACTGTGGGCCTTTGGACATGTTTCTCTGTCATTTACATTCATGTGTTGTTAAAGCATTCCTGCAGCAAATGTGATTGCCTGCTTCCGTTTGACACCCAGGACCCAACTGATCTGGAAGCTCAGTCTTCAACACTAGCAGTGGAACAAGGTCTTCTATTACTCCCAAGGGTAGGATACTGTTTTGGGTGAACAGGAGAGACTGTCTATCACCCACAATTCTGGCTTTTACAAGGAGGTAATTGCCAGGAGGCTGCCACAGCTGGCTTGCAGCATCTGCCACCTAAGGCTGTTGTCTCATTCTGCCTACTGATAAGGCCAGCTCTCACCAAGCCCAATAAAGGGACCTCAACATTACTTCACAGCAGGTGACTACCACTCAGGTCTTCTAATGATAGGAAATAATCTTCTTCAGGCAAAATTCTGCAGATTTTCACTGAATAAGTTCTGAAACAGCTTGTGGATGATCTTCCCCCAAGTTCTGATCATAAACTTCTTTATTTCATTCACTTTTTCTTAGATATCAGTGGATGCACAAGTTATCCATGCCAGAATGGGGGATCATGTGTTGATGGAGGTGACCAATACCAATGCATTTGTCCACAGGAATGGACTGGACCCAACTGCCAGTATCAAACACAGACTGGTATGTCATTTGCTGAAGTGTGAAAGTGGGTGGGAGAGGAATATTTAACTCTAAATAGGAGGAAGTAGGAAGAGACCTAGGAATTTTCTAGCAAGTCAGGAAACAGGCAGCATTAAACAATGCAAACATACAAGAGACTAACTCTCATAGCAGCAATCTAAGTTTCAGCAGAACAGATTCATTTATGCCCATTATAAACATGAGGAGGGTTAGTTGAAATTGTTTGGAAAAGATCCTTCCCTCCAAAGCAGCTAACAAAAATTAAAATCCAATAAAATCCAAAACCACATATGAAAAGGGGCTCTTTATTACAACTAATAAAAAAGAGTGATGATAAACTCATCCAGTGTCTGTGGCACTGAGGGCAAAACTACATGTTACACTCAAGATGGACTGATGATTAAAAAAAAAAAGTTCCTTCCCTTTCCTGTTTAACATGTAGAATCACTTACTTCTAATAGGAAACTAGCACAAATTGTGTAAATGGAGAGTGCTTCAGTAGGTGGAGAACAATAAAAAGGATAGACCTTCACTGGAAGTTGATACATGCGGAAATACAATCAATCAATCAATCAATCAATAAAAATTGAAAACTAAGTTTTCTATAAGTCCTAAGAATATGTTCTTGAACATTATGCCAGAGACGTTTTCAAAGAATATGTCAGAATTATTTAAATATATGACAACTGCAGCAAGAATTATAATTGCTTCTAAATGGAAAACACCAGAATGCCCACCAATTGAAGACTGGGAAAATAAGTTGACAGAATATGTAGTAATGGCAAAATTAAGTTATTACATAAACAGAATACCGATTGAAGACTTTCATGACAAATGGAAAGTCTATTGTACCCAGTATAATTAATATGATGTAAAAGGAAGCTCTTTAAAAAGTTGTTGATGATTAATAATTGATTTGAAGGGATTGGAAAAATTGCCGGTATACAGAATAATAATTTCTCTTTTTTTGAGTTTCCATAAAGTATTGAATGACAGAAAGACAGATACCTCTGGTCTCTTTGAAATTTGCAGCCTTGAATGTATTGGTTATACTTATTCAAAATTCCTTGGCAATTTTATTTTACTTTTAATATATATATATATATATACCTTTCCTTTTCTGTATTCCATTTATGTTAAAAAAAATTTTTAATAAAAAGGATAGACCTTCCCCCTACTATCTTGTAGAAACCATGGAATCAGGTGTTTGCAGGTAATTTCTTCTCTCCTTGTCGTTTAGTACCACCAGCATGGACTGTAACAAATGATCCAGCTTTCAGCCGTAAGCCACGCTGTGCCAAATTTGACAGAATGCAGCAATGCAGTTGTGAAGCGGGCTTCCACATGACTGGCACAACAGAAAACCGCATATGTCAGGGTAAAAAACAACCTGAACGATACGTGAGGGCCAACACATTTAACTCCTTCTGCTCCCTGTTAAATGATGACACTCCCAGCTGTGTCTAAGCTGCAAAATATGGCCTGAGCAGTATTTGGTGGTATAGTGGAGCCAGGGTCTGGGGGGACACAGCACCAGCATTTTCTTATTAGCAGGGATGCTGAAGTCCTCTGCCATCCAGGGATTCCTTGTTCTCTCTGACTTTCACCAGCAATTCTTACAGTAGCTGACTGAAAATGAATTTTCTGGGCAGTCATATATTGTTTCCTATTGCAATGCAAAGTATATTTTGGAATGACTTGCTCTTGAATGGGCAATAAGACCCATTAGCTTTATAAAATTCCTGTTCTTAATGGAGATGAAAACTGCTAGAACTGCTTGGTGAATATGGGGAAAAAGTGGGGGGAGGAGGAGGAGGAGGGGCCAACATAGATTCTTTGCAAAAGAAGAAAGCACACACACAGCCTGAATTTTTGGACTCTTCTTGGGGTCACAGCTATTGGGATATTCATGATGAGCATATTGCATCAAAATGTATCTCTGTGCCCCAGTGATGTTAGCTTATATCATCTCATCATTGCATATGGACCTTGAACTTTATGTGAAAAATTTAAGAAGAGCCGTTCCAGATCAGGTCAAAGGTCTACAGCAGCCTTCCTCAACTTTGTACCTTCCAGACACGTTTGGACTGCACACCCAGAATTCCCAGTTAATGACCCTGCTGGATGGGAATTCTGAGCATTGCAATCTAAATGCCTCTGAAGACCACCAGTTTGGAAAAGGCTGGCCTAGAGGGTCCAGCATTCTGGTTTCATGGTGGCCAACCAGATGGCGATGTGCAGTCCAAAGTAGGGCATAGCAGCAAGATCTTTGGCCTGTGGTCTGCCACCTCTGGGAGTAGATTTTGGGTTTCATTAAAGGGTCACAAATTGTTAGTTACTTCATTTGTTGTTATACCATTTTACTGCCAGGGATGAATAGAGGTACTAGTGAGGTTTTCTGCCTTATTGCCAAAATAACTTGGATTGTTTGGGATACTACATACCTTGACTTGACTAAGTCATGCAAAGTAGGCTATGAGAGGATGTTACTATCTGATTCAGCTTGGGCAGCAAGGTGTCTTGGGCTTGCCACTGTACTGAGTTCTGGAATTTAAGCACTGCCTGAAGAAGAAGAATCTTTACAGGGCAATATAAGCTTTTTAAAAACTCCACCAAACTATGGCAGGAATCTCTGCTCCAAGGAGCTTTCTATATCAGTTTCAGCAGTGGTAAAGCTGAGAAAAGAAAGGAAGGAAAAAGAAAGCTGAGCAAATGTAAACAGATTTGAATACATTCATAAAGAAAAGTTGGCTGCATGTTTTATACAAATAAATACAGTGAAGCTATAGCACCTACATTCTATGATACTCCTGTTATGACACTTTTCTGCCTTGAGAGAACGCCTCATTCTACCTTAAGTTAGGGCCAGTCCTGCTAATGTGGCGAGGCCTTTATTTATTTAGCACACTTTAAAAGAGGATTAGAAAAATTGCTATTCATTATCAACTCATGTGAAGCTGAAGTGAGTTCAAGAATTGTTAATCCCACCCAACCTGCTAGTTATGATGAATATATATTGTGTCCAATATCGGAGGCTGCATATCTTCGAATGCCAGTTCCTGAAGAACAGTCAAATTAACAGCATGTTTGCTAGGAAATGAGTACCACTGAGTTCAATAAAGCATGCTCTAAAATCAAGAGACACAGAACTGTAGCTATGAGTCGAAAGCTGAGCAGGCTTCCTTGAAAAGGTGGTTTACAAGAATGAAGAAACAGGAGCCTTAATATTATGGTTATTTATCCCAGGGTTGTCATTTGAAGATAACCAACTCTGTCACACAAATAAGGAATTCCAGAGCATTTTGACACCGCCTTGCAGTTTACCTTGAGTACTTCAGTACTTTGACACCACCTTGAGTACTTCAGGTCACAGTGCTTTCTGAAACTGTGAACTCCATTTGCCAGAGATAACAATGCTGCTGTTATTTATAAGATCTGCTCAGCCTTGGTTCAAATAGAGTTAAGAATCCACCATCTCATCAGAAGTTATTTGTTCTTTTTCATCGCCATAGTGTATCATAGTTTTTCTGTGAATGCACAAATCCATGTGAAGTTGAGTGAGTTCAGGAATTGTTACTGCCCTAGATCAATGATCATAACACAATCAAGACTCATTTAATCTGATAAACATGCAGCTTGAGGTTATAAGAACTTCTGCACTGGAAATTAACAAACTCCATACAATTTTGGTCTGGAAATAATCAGAGCCTACCTGATTATTTTTGCCAGAAATATTATTTTGCCATTGGTCATTGAAAAATAAACCTTGTTTAAACTCACATCTGGACTAAAGTCTTCTCACTAAGCCCATGCCTGGCAGAGTGGCATGAGTATTTTGTCATCAGCTCATGTTAGTGCACCAAGCTCAGTCCTTTAGAGCTGCAGTGATGGGGAAAGGAAGTCAGCAGCTGCAAAAACATTTGGCTTGCCAGCTCAACACAGATCCTTGATGCCATTGACTTGTGTTGGTTCTAGGGATGTAAGAGAATTTAATTTGTGACTAAAATATCCTGCTTGCAGTCCTGAACATGAGTATGTATAAGATCACAATTTTCGGGGAAAAAACTATAAATTCTGGAGCTCACAATAGCATTTGCAACATGTGTGCTTTTTGAAAAATATACATTGAAATCCCACATTTTTCAAACAGGGCACCTTTTCACACTGTAATCAATTTCATTTGCATGCACACATTTGGAAAAGTACTTTTTCTGTTTACTTCTTTTGTTAGAAAAAAATACACACGTGCATTTATAAACCGTGCTCATGAAGCAAAATGAGCATTGCTATGGGAAAAAGAGACACTTGAGGAGTACAAAAAATGTTTGCACATCCTGAGTTGAATGCTTCAGATGTCAACCTGTGGGGGTTGTAAAAGAACTCTCCAAGTTGTCTGACAGAGTCACAATCTATATTCTACAGCAAGAATTCCTGTTCATTACCAGATTTTAAAAGCATAGAAGTGGGACATTGCTAATTTACTTTTTCTTGTTCTTATCATTTCAGGTTTTATGTCTGACCATCATTACTTCACATTCTTCTTAGTTCCTTAGTTTTAGAAGATGTGAAAGGAAGATCTACTACGTGTGCTAATTGGCTTACTTCCTGCTAGGATGCTGCTATTATCAGCAGCTGATTGACAATACAAGCATCCTAACAGTAACTAAGCCAATCAATTTACTTAACTACTGTTTTGTGAAAACCTACTGTTAATAAAGTAATTGTCACTGAAGCTGACCTTCTGCAATTCATTCTGCCCTTACCTCCCTGCCCTTACCTCCTCCCCCTCCCCCACACACACAGCAACCAAGTGCAGATACAGATCCAACTCAGGATAGCATGCCATGCATCTGAGTAAGTGAACTGTAGTCCACGAAAGCTTACACCATAATTAATTTGTTAGTATTTAAGGAGCCACAAGACACCTTTGTCATCCTTCCAAAAAGGGAATACCAAGAACTACATTTTGAATGAAAGCAAGCAGCCCATAGGTTTGGAACAAAAACATGCAGGCAGTTGATATACCTTTAGATGTTATATCCCAGAAAGGGCCCTCCCTCCTCACCCTATGGCTAGCTATGTTATGAAATGATGTAATTGTCCATGCAGGATTATGGGGAAATAACTTCTTTTTCTTCTTCTGCAGATGTGAATGAATGTGAAGTTTACAAGCTCGAGGGAGCCCCTCGCCTCTGTATGCACACCTGCGTCAACATTCCTGGTTCATACCGCTGCTCCTGCCCCAGTGGATACAGGATCTTTGGTGATGGGAAGAGCTGTGAAGGTGAGACATAGCTTTAAATTGCTAAGCATATAACAGATCACATTCTGCACTATCTAAAGAACCATTATACCAGTTTTTATATTTGCAGGCTGAGTTTTATGCCAAAAATGAAGAGTTGACCTACACAGCATTTCTCTACTGAAACTGCAGTCCTATACACAGTTGCCTAAAAGTAAATCCCATTGAATTCAATACATGAATGGTGCTGTTAATCAGCTCCCAGTGCAGTTTACAGAGTAACAAAGAGTAAGACTGTTCCTGTTCTCAAATTTACAATCTAAAAGATGTGACACAAAAAGAAAAACTGATGGGAGAGAAGAGGAAAACAAGCAAACTCAGGCATCAATTTTTAATGTTGTACAGTTGTCATAGTGACCAGCTTGGATGGAAACTGGCTGCTCACACTTCAAAAACAGGTCTGGTAGGTCTCCAAGAAATGGCCCGGCAACCTGACCTTCCTGGAAGTCACTTTAAAGCAACTTCCCGGAGTCTGCTGGCACCTCATCAATCCTGCCACAGCAGGTGAGGTTCAGGGAGTCCTGGCCGAGCCCTCCCCTGAGCAGATGGTCATGCTGCTCTTCCTCACAGGGTAATTGGTTCCAAAACTCCAGCCCAGCTAATAGAGCAGCAGCAAATGGAGATGGCAAAATCTAAGGTTGCTTCACTGTCTGCTGATGCTTCATCTTCTCTGTTCCTAAAGACTTCTTGTGCTGGTTGAGAATTTGCCCAGGCCACAAAATCCCTGACCACTTCTCAGCATTCGTTTAATTCTTGGCTCCTGGTTGATGGCAGCTGACAGTTGTGGGCTTATTTTCAGTTCCAGAATACTGCTGGGAAGGAAATGCAGAAGGAGAGGAGGAACTGGGATGAACATTGGCAGATAAAAACCCTCCCAGCCACCAGTACTCCCGTGAATGCCAGCCTTGCCCCAGCATTAGGTTGCAAGTACCATGTGCAGGGCTGCTCACAAGAGAACATGACATTCTCAGGCTACATTTACATCTTCAGGATATATTCACTGCTAGACTGATAGATAATGACACACTGGTGTATTATGATAAGTCAGAACTTCCTTTGGTGAGGCTCACCAAGAATACCAGGTTGGGACACTATTCGTATAATACCCAGGAAGTCCATGAGCTTAAATACAAGGACAAACTGAAAGAACAAGGGTGGCTGGTTTTAAAATTGAACATAATCTTTCCCCCCATTTTGAGTGAAGGCCCAAAAACTTTTAAGGCTTTGCAGTGTTTTTGACATGTTACTGCCACAAACATTGCCTTACAGTGGGACAGATTTTTGGTCCATCCAGCTCGGTATTGTCCACACCAGCCTTCACCAATACTCAAAAGTGCTGGACTATGACTTCCAGCAATCCCCAGTCAGCAGGGTTGCTAGGGAGTGTTAGAGTTACAGACCAACACCTCTGAAGAAAACCTGGTTGGAGAAGGCTGGTCTACACTGACAGTCAGTGGTTCGGGTTTTAGAAAGCCTTTTCCCCTGAATTTTTTTCCTGTCCTACCTGCATAAGAATTGAATCTGGGCTCTTTTGCATTTATAACATTTACTCTACCACTAAGTTATAGGAAGCTCAGATCAACACCTAGCAGCTGCTGTGTAGCACAGAGAAAGGTTTTCAAATTTCTTCTCACTGGTAGCATGGAGAGAATTTATACATAGAAAGAGAGAGTGATGAAATATTTAGTAGGACAGCCCCAAAACAGAAACAATTGCCCCTAAAACACATAGCTCACATTTCACGCGACTAAACTTAGAGAACTGGGCATGTTTACCCTTGAGAGGAGAAGACTGAGGGGGGACAAGGCATCCCTCTATGGGTACCTCAAAGGCTGTTAAAGAGGAAGGTCAAGATCTCTTCTCTCTCATAGCAGACTGTAGGACACAGAATAATCAAGTTGTGGCAACTCAGATTCAGGCTAGATATCAGAAAAAGTTTCCTCTCTGTCAGAGCAATATGACAGTTGAACCATGCCTAGAGATGTTGTGGGCTCTCCCACACTAGCGACATTCCAAAAGAAACTGGACTGCCATCTGAGTGGGATGGTGTAAATTGGTGTCCTACAACAGCAGGGGGTTGGACCTGATGGCCTTCTTGGCCCCTTTCAACTCTACTGTTCTATGATACTATGAAAAGAGAGAGACAGAAACTGCTCTTCTGTGCAGGACTATTGGAGTCTCTTTCAGAGGCTGCAGATGGCAACTTATATCTCACATTTGGTGGGACCACCTCTCTAGCTGCAAATTCAGTTTTGCTGGAGAAGACAGTGCTTCAGAGGACACAAATCACTGATGACTTTCCTGTAATGTATGAGTGTGTGTCAGGCGATAGGGCTGCTAAAGCAGGACTTAGGTAGGAGAGGGTTTTGAGCTCTTCTTCCACCTGTGCTTCCTATCCCCACCCCCAAACTGCTTTTTTCCTATGCATGCTTTTCTTTTAGTGCTGTGAGGCTGGAAGCCGAGGAGAAGCAATTCCAGGGGGGAAGTTTGAGCACCCCACACTCACTCATGCTGAATTTTCTTTGTCCCAACATTGCCCCTGCTTTATAGGAAATTAACACACTACTCACATTCTGAGACAGAGGTCGCAAGACTGTAGCATCTAGTTCATGCCTTGTGCAATGCTGGCTGCAGTTCCTTCACTACTCAGTTACTGTCCCCACTGTTTCTCCTGAACTTTGACACTAGATCCATTTTGTGCCTATTAATGAAATGAAATATTAACAGAATAGAAGTCAGGCTTATCCAAGACTGTGCAACAAGCCAGATTTCTGTGACAGTTTGTCACATACCATGACTAAAATACTAGCTGTGAATACCAAGAGAGACCCTAAAACAAGGTAGACATTGTAGTGTATTTTAAGGTATGTTGGAAGGTATGAAGGAGAATTGCCAAAAGCTGCCAGGAATTGAATAGTGATATTATATCCATGAAGTGTGCACTCTGTGCTCTCGGGTGTCTGACGAAAACGCCTTCAAATGATAAAACGGGGTTCATAAGGGTTTGTTTTAATTAAACATCTTATCTCAGAAAAATTATGCAGCTTGAAAAGTTTTACTTTCCACTTCATAAGCTGGTTCAATTGGGCTACTTCAGCTGGTTAGGGAGTGAGTCTATGGCCTGGCGATAGCTTCAAAGGTGCCATAGGATACCCAGATCCAAGGCTGGCACTGGGACTCCGATCCCATAGAGGAGTATCGGAGCTCAGCCCCTCACCCCCTGTGGTCAGCACAGGAAGAACCACACCAGCCTCTCTCTCGACTTGGGAGAACAACCTTGGAGAGGAAAAAGAGAGCATTTCAGTGGATGGAGAAGAGACTGGAGAGGTCAACAAAAGAGCTATCTTGAGGTCTCCCCTGCCCCCTTAACTTCCCCCCTAAAATACTGTCTCTAAATAGGGAAAAAGCCTCTCTAGAAAGAGAAGAGGGAGGCAAAGATTGCTTTGCTCTCCTCCGGCCCTGCATTGGATCTGCGTAAGAGTTTACGGGCTTAAATGCCTCATAATAGGATCCTATCCTTATTTACTTTATTTTTGATTTGTCTTTCATCTGTAAGGCTTCACAAGTGTTCTCCTGGTTTTTTTCTCACCACATCCTAGGAGTACCTGGCTCAGGGTGGTTTTATAAGCTTTGTGGATAAGAGGCATCTGAAATCCAGTCTAACACTCTATCTACCACCCTTCCCTATTTGATATCACTAAGGCAGGCATCCTCACATGGGGGGTTGGTTTTTATAGCTCAATAATATGTAGCTTTAGCATATCTTTTGCAGGAGATCCAACTGGCATCTTTATTTGTGCACCTGTCTAACTGGTATTTTATTAAAGACAAGCAAATGAACACCAGCTTTGTCTGGACTGGAACATCCCTTAGTTTGAATTAGTGCATACTCTAATGACATAAATGGAGGTTTTCTATTCAAGACATTTACTATGTGTTCATGATGGCTTCCCCACAGTTGCTTGCAGGTTCTTTAGATAATGCTGTGACCCTTCAGTTTTCCTTCTGTTTTTAAAAGCACTCACCTAGTTAGTTTTAACTGAGGGAAAATATTATTTCTGAAAGTGAAAGAAAGGTATTTTTTACTTCTGTATTTATGCTATTTTGCTACAAGATAGCACCATCTAAAGGTTATATAACAGTAAAACAGGAAGGGAACTGCTTTTTGCATAGCTTGGAACTCAGTTCTACTACCTAACCAAAAGTGGTTACAGTGATTTAGAGCCTTGTGTAAAAAAGAAGAAAAAGCAGGGCTCAGAATTATGGTAGCCATGGTGAGAAGGTAAACATACTAAGTGCAAGGACTCTTGAATGGTGTCTTACTCAAAGACCCTGAAAAAACTGGAGCTGTTACTGTGTGGTAACCCTCACGCTAATCAGAACTACAATCGGTGTTAATTTACTTCACTTCAGTGAGTCAGGCCTAAGTAGGAGTAGCACTGAATACAGTTCTAAGTGATGAATGACTAAATTACTTAGTGTGCCATCCTAGTATCTTTAGATAAACAGTTATGGTGTTTGTGGGAACTGCTGTAAGTTAAAGGCCTTTTCATATCTAAACAGGCATTGGATTGTACTCATTCCTGATAAATTATGTCTTTTAGCTTCATTTCAACGTTCACAAATGAGAAATGTCTCAAAAGTGGCTTAGATTTTTTATATGCCAGGCTTTGTTGTTGCCTGATTCAACCAGGTCTATTTTAGATGTATTATGAAAACAGAAACAAGAAGAAACAAAGAGAAACAAATAAAAAAACTGAAGAAACAGGCTTTTTGTTTGGGTATAAGGATGAATGCTGCAAGTGGGGTTGGGTTACAGCACAGTGTGAACGCTACGGTTATGATGTGCTTCAGTCCCAGCATGCCGCACTGCTCTGCTAATCTGCTCCTGCCAGATCAGTGTTTCAGCAGAACTGAGGGCTAAAATTTTGGACAATAGGCTCATGCAGGGACAAGCTATAAAGGGAATTTAACTTTCACATCGGTCTTGTCTACATGTTGCATTTGAGGGCAATGACCTTGCTGGCTGGGGATGATGGGAATTATTCCACCCATATTATTAGAATGCAAACTTGCAAAAAGCTGCTAATTTTTGAGTGCAGGTAAGTTTTAATGAGGCTAGGGTTAGTCACTAGATCTGTATTCTGCAGCACAGGGCTCCAGAGAGACCACGATTTCTGTTGTGCATCTAATTATCTGAAAGCTTGCCCATATGTAACAGTCACTGCACAGACACTGGCTGTGCATAAAATAGTTTGCAGGACTATTGCTCCACAGTGTGGCTGAGAGGAGCTCACCAGATAAGTTGCTCAGAAGTGCTGCCAGTTCACATTTTTAACCCAACTTACTAAATTTGCACCTCCTGGGTATGCATATGAATTGTAATACCTATTTTGATTGGAAAACAGGATCATCTATGCTTTTCTGAAATTTGTGATGCTGTCTGCAAATCAAAATATGTTACAAATTGTGCATAATAAGAAAAAGTGTCCCTTAGAAGAAATAATTTGCAAAAAATACATGCATTACAAATACTGTCCAAAATTGTACACAAAAAAGTGTGGATTTTTATGTGGACTTTTGGGGGGAATTGCAAATTAAAGCACAAACAGGACAGAATAAGCTTAATGTTGGAAAAACAAGAAACTGAGAGGAATTGAATTTGACAGATTTGCCCTTCCCTAATTCTGACTGTGTGGAGAATTTCCATTGTTATAAACCAACTGCCAGCACTAAGAACATCTGATCTAATGGCGGTTTGGAGATCCCACCTGGCAAAAATACTGTATTATGGCTGGCACATGAAAACCATGGAGACTATTACTCCCCTTCAGCTCAATTCTTCTCTCTCTCTCTCTCTCTCTCTCTCTCTCTCTCTCTCTCTCTCTCTCTCTCTCTCTCTCTCTGGTAAACAGTGCCATGATTTATATGGATTTCAAGTGTCAATAGAAACAAATGTCAGATAAAGCCAGTTATGTGGATTTTACACAATCCAGCAGAAGTCCCAGCTAGAAGAGAGAAGGTGTGCTGGAGGAACCTGTGCAGCTGCTTTATGCTCATGCTCTAGCCTAGAGGAGGCTGAAGCTATTGTCACCCCTTCCCAGTGATATTTATTTATTTATTATCTATTACCTCCCACCCTTTTCCTTCAAGGGACTCAAGGTGGCTTACACAATCCTCTTATTTTGATCACAGCCCTGTGAAGTAGATTAGACTGAGAGCTGGTGACTGGTCAGTCACCCAGCTAGCTCTGTGGCTAGGTGGGATCTAGAACTCAGTACTCCTTGATCTTAGTCCAACCCTCTAACCATTACACTACATGGGATCTATGATAGGAAGCCCCTTCCTCTTCCACCCCTACACCAGATACCTCACACTTGGAAAAGTCTCTATTAAATGTGGCAGTATCTACTGCTTCTGCCAGTGGAAGGCTGGTCTTAGTCTGAGGTTTAATGCTGAGGAAGAGAGACCAGCAACTCATTCCCATGCAGGCAGGCTTTGGGATTGCACAGAGCTCTTAGTGTAAGAGCCAGAGTGGTTGAGTGATTCCTTTGCATGCAGAAAGTCTCAGCTTCAACCCTTAGCATCTCCAGTGTTAACAATGATATTTAAAGGCCCGAGCAGCTTGCAGCCTGGTTATTTAAAAGAGCGCCTCTTCCCATATGTGCCTATATCCAAAGTCCTTCTCAGAGAGCCCCCTCTGAAGGAAACAAAGAGAGAGGCTACAAGAAGAAGGGCCTTTTCAGTAGTGGCACCCCAACTTTGGAACCAGCCTCCTAAAGAGGTTTGATGGGCACCTTCTCTTTTCTCCTTTCCATATCAGGCAAAGACTTTTAAAATTTACCCAATATTTTAATAATAAAGCAATTTTAAGGGGGTTTATGGTATGTATTGTATTTTAATGCTACTGTGTTTTTGCCTTTGCTTTAAAAGAATTTTGGTTATTGTATGGTTTTATTGTAGGGGTTTTCTGCATTTTTCTGTGTTTTTATTGTTGTTATTTTACTGTTGCAGTATATATACCCAATTTAATTATTCTTTCTATTGTGCATGTTTTATTGTGTATTATATTATATATTTTGTAAACTACCCAGAGAGTACTCTTAGCTAATAGGTGTTTTAGAAACAACAACAACAACAACACTGGCCTAGGAAAGTTCACTGTTTGAAATCCAGGAAAGTCCCTGCCAATCGGTGCCCTTCCCCAAATGTTTGGGAGTTTATTTATTTATTTATTTATTAAAACATGTCTATGCCGCCCCATTCGCCGAAGCCTCGGGGCGGCTCACAACATAATATAATACAAAAATAACAATATAAAACTAACAATATAAAATAAATAACAATATAAAAGAAGTCGCCCTGGCCAGATAAATAAGCAAATGCTGTTAACAATTAAAATGACGCTTAAATAAAAAGGTCTTCACCTGGTCTTCAGCTCCCATCAGCTTCAGCCAGCATTACTGATGGTCAGAAGTTTTGGGAGTTGTGATCCCCAACATCAGCAAGCATCAGGTTGGGAAAAGTTGGGGTAGACAATACTGAACTAACTCAAACAACAGGCTGAGCAGGTATATGTCAGCTTGTTAACATTTATTTTGAATCTACTGCCAACTAGGTTCCCACCACAGTGTGCATTTTAAGCAGTTAACTTCATACATCTTTAACATTTTCATTTGTTTTGCAGATATTGATGAATGCGCACTCTTGTTGCACAACTGCACAAGAGGAACAACCTGTATTAACACAGGAGGAGGCTTTCAATGTGTTAGTTCAGAGTGTCCCAAGTCCAGTGGAAATGTTAGCTATGTGAAAACATCACCATTGTAAGTATAATGAGAAATCAGATACTCCAAATGCACTCAGTTTTCCCTAACCTAGTGCCTTCCAAAGGTATCAGATTATAACTTCCATAGTTCCCAACCTGCATGGTCATTGCCCTGATGGCTAGGAATTATGGGAATGGTAGTCCAACACCCCTGAAAGACACCAGCTTGAGGAAGACTACACTAAACCATGGCTTTAAAATTACATATTTTTTTTAAAAGACCCTAATTGTAAAAACAGTTTTTTCAGTTAATTTGGTTAGAAGTATTTTAACTTTTTAGCCAAATGACTGACCCTTTTTTTAAAGTGGAAAGTCATGCACTAACACCTTGATTCATTCACAGTAACTGAAGGAAAGTTTGCTTCCTCACTGGCCAGTTAACATGGAAATGACAGAATCAGTTTTTATGGAGAATCCAAAAAATCAACTTATTACATTTCAGTGTTGTCTCTGTCATCTATCCATCTTCTCAGATCTGATCTGTGGCAAGCTTGTAATAGTTGCTGTGTGAACCAGCTTGTCCAGTATAGTTTCAGAAAGCTCTAGTGAGTGTGATATGGGCAGCTGCCCCTTTAATTAGTAGCTTCCTCCTAACTCTTTTTTTTAAAGCAGCCAATTAGTGGATTTCTGTTTGGTTGCTATGGCTAGCACTTTTAATAGGGAGACAGGAGGTTAGTTTTTGGTTAGCAATTGTGAATTTGTTCTTCTTAAAAAATAAAGCAGATTTAAATAATTTAACAGTTACTCTGGCTATGAATGGGTAACCATGATTAAAACACACACATCCCACTGGGAACAGGAATTGACTAATTAATTCCTGAATTGCCTCTTAATTGGCCAAGTCCTGTTTCTCAGATAAGGAGTTCATTACTAGTTAGTAATTTTGAAATTGCACTCATTAAAAATAAACCAGCAATTATCCTGGCTGCAAATGGGGTATTCCACAGGGAACAAGAATTGACCAACTGGGAGCAATTCAGGAAAACAGCAGCTATAATAAGCAAACAGCAAGTAATTATTAGCCACTTAAAAAGAAATGGTAAAGACCCATGGCCAGATTATGTGTGGCCTCCTTGTCTGCTGCAACACCAGTTCTCTGAAGTTTGTATTGCCCAACAGTATTAGTGAAATTCTGAATAATAGGAATGGGTCAGACTTTCTAATTTCAACCGTATATAATCGTTCTGGTCTTACTTTGGATTCCAGTCCTTTCAATCCACCACTTTGGCTGTATGTGTAACAGCAGCTTGATCTACAAACATTAGCAGATGACATAATGTTGATCTCCATGCCTGAAAAACTGCTCAGCTGCTGTATATATCAAGCTGCTCTGCTGTGAAAAACTCAAGAGCTGCCACATCTGAACATCTTCATGGCTAGGGCTCCTGGGGGAGCAGCAACAGAAGGCACAAATCACTGCTAGAGTCGGAGCATGGAAAATTTCTCAGTCACTGATACATAGCTGCCATCTTTAGTTAAGCAGCTGAATCCAGGACTAGGGATAGATCTGCAAATACTAGTGCAAATGATGTTGTGCTGGTATAAACCAATGTGACAGTAAATTGCCACTTTTCCCCATTACTGTTGCATGTGCTAGTTACATTGCACAAGTCTGTTTTAGGCTAGCACAGTGACACTGGTGCTGGTTGAATACTACTCTAGTTATGTCGGCAGCATTTACAAAACTAGAGTTTATTTCAGAATGCAAGCTTACATATAGGGCCAGTGGAAGCTAGGCATGGCTGCCTGTCCCCCAGTAGCCCATAGCCCAGTCATGGTCCATGGAGACAAGCCCCTGGACTTGCTGTTCCTCTTCACCACTGCAGTCTGTTCACGTCCCTCTCACTTGACCTGCACAACTGCAATGGTGAGAAGAGACGGTAGGTGCCATTGTCCAGTGCTTGCTTGTTCTCTGCCAGTCAAGCAAGCAATGACAGCAATAATGAGAAAGTGGAGGAGGAGCTATAGCATCTTTCAAGAAGCTCAGCTCACTGGGAGAAGGCTCCTTTAGTTGTGTCTTGCCCACAAAAACCTGGAGCTGGCACTGCTGGATAACAGTGATTCAAAGAGCCAAAATAATGCATTCCTGTTTTGTTATTCAAGTGCCAAAAACACCAAGTAAATTTGTAAAGAAAAATGAGGCAGAAGGGAAAAAAGAATTTAATCTTTCTTCCTTATTTTGGCCATTACTGGGTTTTAAACTACCTGAGGTGATTCACCATATCCCTATCATCTGGTCTAGCCCAAGAGTGGGTTGGTTGATTTTTGCTTCTTTACATAAATTAAAATCCAACACCTCATCATAATATCACCTTAAATTATTAAGAGTTGGCTGGCATACTAGTTTAGAATTTTCGTTTTTTAAAATTTGTTACTTCATGACTTCTTCCCTTTACAACTGTGATTTATACTTTGGACAGCTGATGATCTTTTAAAAATCTCTAGATCGGAGATTCTCAAACTGGCCTGCAGATCGGTGGTGGTCCATGAATTCCACTCAGATGGTCTGAAGAAATGTTGTGGGAAAGTAGAGAATATCCGCACTTAGCCCTTCACTTGATTTTTTCCCCTGATGATGAACATCACAACTAAACTGGCTAAGCAGCCTCTGGCATAGGAGCTGCTTTTCCTATTATGGTTGTGGTCTAAGTTTCTAATTTTCTCTTTACAAAGTTAATACTTAGAGGGACCCCTTTCAGAGGCCTGGCCTAGATCTTGTGGTTTTTCTAATATAGCACTTTGTTTTGATTTCACTAAAATATACATTTTTATGTGCTTTGATTTCTAGAACAAAAAAGTTAATTAAGTGACCTGTGAAATCTCCCAGCAATTTTCCCATACATTTAACAAGCTTGACTCTGGATAATTTCTTGCAATGCCAAGCTTATCAGTCTGTGTATAAGTTGTACACCTCCATCAAAAATGCCTGCAATCTCTCTCCTTCTCCAAAGCATTTGTATAGCTGAGGCAGGAACTACTGGGTTTTTCATGCCCCAGGTGCTTGAGGATTTTGCTTCTATGGTTGTGTAGGCCCTGTCTACAGTTTACCATATTGGAAGATTTGGTGTGAATATGCCCAGAATGAAAAGTATAAACTGGACCACAAATGAGTGAAACACAGTTCCAGATTTACCTCAGCAAATCTTATTATCAGGAGAAAGATCTGGCATAAAGGAAAAAATATTTAGTAGTCAGAAAATTTACTGTACAGTTGTGAATTGCTCTTTAGAGCCAATAATCAAAATTAATAACTTGCCAATTGAGCTACTTGAGTTCATTTGATCATAGACCAAAAAACATTAGAACAACCTGTCAGTATCTCAGAACATTCAATATGAATGTTTTCCCTGAGGTCAGGAAGATTACTTGTCACATTTCCTTTGATACAGGGCCAATGCACTGTTCCTTGATTAATCATCATAGCAGCCTGCACTAAATGCAGCTTTGTGTTAATTTAGACAACATTCTGGGCACAATCCAGCCAAGGCTAAACACCTTTAAACCCCATTAATTTCACACTAATGGCACACTGAAAATCCTCTATTGGAAATAAATGGTATTTAAAAGGCAATATGCTCTCTGTCTCAGCTGGTCTTGCTCTGTGTGTGTTGGTCCCTATCAGTTCCACTAGTTGCATAACACAAGCTAGCAGTATCTCAAAGAAGTCCAGCAATGACTAAACTCTGGAAATCAGTAGCTCACTTTGTAGAAAAGAGGCATATCTTTCAAAGTATCTCCTAAAAACTCTTAATTAAATTGACCAGTTTAACTTAATGTTCTGTTTTACTGCTCCTGCACTGTTCTGTTTTCTTTTTCTTATTGTTATTCATTGGTTTTTATAACTGTATCTTACAAATGAACTTGACTAACAAACTATGGCTTGTTAACCATGAACGACACTTGAAGAGAACCCATGGCTCATTGCTGGGTTGTGAACTGTAAGTTGCTCACCAAGTTTGGTAACTTGACTCAGTTCATACAACACAATAGCCCACATTTCAACAATACCGCACAGTTCAGTGACCATCTATATCAGCCTGCCTGTATTCAACCCCTGGATGTGGGTTACTGAGGTTTTTAACCTGGTATGTACCAAAGTAGAGGGCAGTGGAGTAAGCATACTACTGGACAAGTGGCTTGCCCACCTCCCCATTGCAAGACCCTTGGATTTAATTGAAAGAAGAACACTCCTCTCCAATATGTTTGTTCTGGTGCTATCACGCATGTTTGCATATAAAGATTCCAGTGTGGGATTGGAAATGTACGTGCTTCTCTGGGGGTGTTTCATTTGGTGCAAGTATATACCCTGCCCCCCAATGCTTCATGTGGACAAAGATTGTGTTTCCATCCTTTTTGCAGTTAGAGGGGAAATTGCATGCCTGTTTGCTGTCTTTGGTCACTAAATGCATACCTGATTCAGTGTCTGCTCCAGGTTTTGGACGGCATTAGGCAAGGCACTCTCAGGGACCTGCTCCCTCAGTGAGCCCTCCTTATCACCACTGTGATCAGCTGCTATTGCTCCTCATCCTTTTTTGTCCTCTTTACCGTGACTTGCCTGCTTGATAGACAGAGCCAGTGTACAAGAAGGCCATGGCATCTACTTCTCCTCTCTCCCTACCATTATCCAGGCCAGAGTGAGAGGCAGGCTAATGCCTAATGCAATGGTGGAGAAGAGGAGAAGTGAGTCCAGGGTGCTCTGGTCAGTGTGCCTCTGCTTGGGTGTGGGTCCTCAGCAGGTGCTCAACTATACCTACCCATGACAACAGCCCTGACCTGGTTATACACAAGCAGGTGTATTTTGCAACTTTCTGCTGCTCAGATAGAACAATAAAGGGAGCTTTAGAAGCAAATGTTGCTGTTTAAGATTCTGCAAATCCTTTCAACCATCTAAATCTCCTTGTTTTTCCCCCTTCATAGTCAGTGTGAACGGAACCCATGTCCAATGGACAGCAGGTCATGCCATCATGCCCCAAAGACCATCTCCTTCCACTATCTCCCTCTGCCTTCTAACATCATCACACCGACTGCCCTCTTCCGCATGGCAACTGCTTCAGCTCCTGGACGGCCAGGCCCCGACAGCTTGAGGTTTGGAATTGTGGGTGGAAATAGCCGAGGGCATTTTGTGATGCAGCGCTCAGACCGGCAGACCGGAGAACTCATTCTGGTGCAGAGCCTGCAGGGGCCTCAAACCATAGAAGTGGAGGTGGACATGTCAGAGTACCTGGACCGCACCTTCCAAGCTAAGCATGTTTCCAAGATTACCATTTTTGTATCAGCTTATGAGTTTTGAAGGAACCCACTTATACAAGGGAGGAAATATGTAGTTCATGGAAGAATCTTGTTCAGTGGAAACTGTTTGCTAGTTTGTTTTAACCATCAGCTTCGGTAAACTGCACAATAATATTCAGGGACTGAGAACAGGCATGGCACAGACATGGCAAACTGTCAATTCTTTTCAGTGTTGTGCAGCTATATAATGACTGTAGCTTTCTGGTTTCTACCCTAACACAGCTTTAGATGCCCCGGAAGCAGAAAGGGGTAATAATGGGCACCAAACACTGACAGTAGCTGTATAACCTGCTTTTTGCTGGCCAACCAGTATGGCATACGTATAAAGAGCCTGTCATTAATAGAGACACAGCCTGCATCCCAAACAGGCATTCAACAAAGGGGAATAAATCAGCATTCTCTGGAAGAATGTAGATAGACAATAAACTCTTGCAAAAGATCTCATGTTGTCTAGCAATTATATAGTGATGACTTGACACAGAAAATAGGGATCAAGTCAATGTGAACCACTGATAGGTTCCATCTGATTTCAATTCAAATTTCTCCTATTGAAATCAATGTCACTATAAAGTCCTAACCTTTGGTTGGATCATGCCCCATAGTACTTCATATAACTGAAACTAAATTCTGCCACAGATTCAGAATTTTAGTCAATTGTCAAAACTCAAATTTGAAAGTTTTCTTTTACCATACTTTGCTTATGAAATGTAGCTTTGAAATACACTTGCAAAAAGCTCTATCTTAAGCCATGATTAAAGAATGTTAAAGAGTCTATAATATTAAATGGTAAGTTGATGAATTTGATACTTTTTATGTCTTAACATTTTCTGATTTTGCTCATTTCAGTAGCATGAATAACAAGGAATAATGCCTGGTTTGCTTGCATTCCCCTCTGCAGTTTGTTTTGTACTATAACGGGAAGTTGGTTTCCATGCAGGTAACTTTTTTGGGGCAAATGAATGTGGGAAACACAGTTCTATTAAACATGATTTGTATTTTAATTGAATATTTTCTTTCCTTCAGTAACATAGATGACTCTGGAAGCACAAATCATAGAAATTACCATGTAGCAGAAATATCTAGCTTTATAGCTGTTATAAGCTGAACAGAGGCAAACTTCATCTAGACCTGTCTTGTTTATTCAGTCACTTGGTTTACACCTGCAGACACCGGAAAGAATGGTTCTCCAAGAGCAGCAGAAACAGCTGCAATATCTCCTCTGAAATCTGGCTTTTTCTGCTGTTCTACTCTTGCCAATCCCCATGGGCAATTTGTGTTCAGGCTTTTGCCAGCATTGGAAATGTGGAAAGAAATATGAATGCTTCTGTTCCCCCAGGGGGTTATTTTAGGTTCTGATCAGCTCCCAGAGTAGACGTGATTGTCTGGGAACACCTTTGTAAATTTCCTGGCACATCAGAAGGGATATTTTGAGAACAACTATGGAAATGCCCTAGCAAGGCAGGCTGGACATTCTAAGTTCTGGCTGGGTATCATTCAAAATGCAGCAAGTTGCTCCACCTGTAAACCAGGGTTATAGGCTAAGGTTTTATAGAGCCTACAAGCCAATACTCCCTTGTTACCTAGATCTGGCGGTCTCCAACATGGTGCCCATAAACGTCCCCTGGTGTCTGTCATGCTCTCTGCCATTCCTGACTTTTAAGTTACTTTTTAAGATTAAAAAAAAAAAAAAACTGGGAGTTTCGCATCTTGGAAAACAAAAAGCTGCCTGCTGGTGCCATCTTTACTTGCTGTAGATTCAAAAGAGTGGTTTTGTTTTTCAGAGCTCAGTTTCCACCACAATAAAGCAATAACATTTTTTGCACTCCACCCTACCCTTTCCATAAGTGATAAGAAGTGCCTTTCAAGTGTTTATTTCATTTGTGAAGATAAAGTATACAGCCTTTGTCTTTTTATTTACAAATCCGTAAGTTGAACATGCATATGGGAGAACCCATAGAGGTGATGCCCATCTCTGCAACAGCATCCATTCCTCAAAGGCAAAGAACTTCTGTATGAAGTCCTCTGTGCAACTCTGGTGTTAAACTAAGGGTTCCATCCAAAGTTCTGTGAGCTGAAGTAAACATTATTTCACCTTTGTCTCCTTCCTCCTGCATCTGCCAAAGGTGCTATTAGATTTATGGAAAAAACATGTGCCTTTTCTGCTTTGGAGGGTTCTCCAGTCTGTCAAAACAGACAGAGGGGGCAGCTCTGGAGGGGAAGGAATAATGTGTTCTTGTTGACACAAAACACTACCATATTCACCTCTGACATCTGTTTCTGTCACTCCTTCCATTTCTGTTGTTTGAAACTGTTTCTAAAATATTGTGCTCACCTGCCCTGCTAGGGGCCACCAAACCTCAAACGCCATAAATGCTAATGGAAGCATTAGCATATCATCTTGAATGATATGAACAATTTGTTGCTAGTCACGAAGTCGCATCCAACCCCATCGTGATCCCATGGACAACATTTCTCCAGGCCTGTGATATGAACAATACAGGAACCTAAAAACTGGTCTTCTTCCCCAGTTGTCTTCCATAGAATGTGCAATTGCTTTCAAGGTGCAGCTGAGTGGAGAGGCTCCTGGGAACACACTCATCTTGGAGCTACCAGGGAGAGCTGGGAAGGAAAATAAATCTGAATTAATAATATGAATGGAAATTGCTTAATAAGCAGAGGTTGATTATAGCTCTTTTATCTCTCTCCAATTCCTTTTACATAAAACTATTTCAGAACATTTATGTCAGTGATCTGATTAAGTCATTGGCTAAGAAGCTTGAACTAATTCAAAGTCATTTGCACAGAGAAGCAAACAAAACCGAATGTTCCATCCAGTCCATGGGTCTGGGTGTTTAAACTTCCTCCACAGCAATGGTTCCCACCATTCTCGCCAAAAGCATGTGCTCAGGCCAGCATTTGTTTCTAAGGGATAAGCTGCATCTATTGGTCAGCTGAATGTTCACTAACTACTTTGTGTAGGTAGTCAATTTATGTTCGTCATGTCAATTAACCTTAGCATAGGAATTTTTCCAGCCAAGAATGCTGAGCCTGAGTTATGTACTTCTCCATGAGGAAAAATATTTTGATGACTTCTTAGTTTTGCTATTATTCATATTTCCCACAGTAAAAGCTGAAAGATGTGTGGAATTATGTGGGGAAATCCCTAAAACAAGAGTGGCCAATTACAGAAGGTTCGAAGGTCATTTTTGCTCCCTCTTGCAGGCCACACACCTGCAGGTGCCCTGAGGAATTTCCTCCACAGCATGACAAAAACAGCAACAACAGAAGTGGCACTGCAATGCCAAAATTCAGTAGCAAATCTCCCCAGAATGGTAAATGCATCATATTTAGCTAGGGAACAAGCCACATTTATTTATTTGTTTGTTTGTTTAGAAAGCTTCTATGCCGCCCCATTCGCAGAAGCCTTGGGGCGGCTCACAACAATAAATGGATAAAAACAATATAAAAGCAATATAATTGGAGACATCCTGGCCAAAGATGTAAAATAAATAAATAATATTAGCAATTAAAATAACGTTTAAATAAAAAGTTTATTTAAAAAGTTTAAATAACCACTTCCAAGATCCAGGTCCCTGTCCCGTGCTTGGTGCTGTTAATTAGCCAAGATGGGCAAGGGTCCAATAGGCAAGTGGTAGGACGTACTTGTCCAAGCACCTTGTCCACATCATCAGGCCGCAGTAACTGAAACATTTGATCTGTTGAGCCCACCCCCAATGGCATAAAAGGATACTTTCCCCCCAGCTGGTGTGAATGTCAGGGGCAGGACAGCAGGGATCATGGGGAGCATGTGTGGCCTATGAATTGAGTATTACCCACCCTTGCTATAGATAGTGATATTTGGAGAATACTGTATTGTGACTCAGGCTTGGGGGTCATGCAGGAGATAAAAAGTATAGTTGCCATATCAAATTCCCCCACAACATATGCATTATATTTCTACCTTGCCCTTTTTCCTTTCAGGGAACTCAAAGTCACTTATGTAATCTTCCTCCCCATAATTTTATCATCGTAACAACTCTGTGATGTAGGTTACACCTAGAATGTGTGACTGGCCCAATGTCACCCAGGAAGTTTCAGGGCCAAATGGGGACCAGAACTCAGATCTCCCAGATCCCAGTCCAGGGCTCTAACCATTACACTACAGAGTTTCAACTTCACCTTCCACTTACCTCTGGGCAAGCCCAGATTGGCAAGGGGGCAGTTGCTCCCCCAGGAGGGCATGTATACACTCTGCAGCTATAAAAAAAAAAAAAATTCTTGCTGGGGCAGTAACTTGCTGTGTGTCCCCAGATCTGGGCTTGCTCTCTGCTTTAGGCCTTTTTCAGGCTCAGTTTCTCCCTGCTTTCCCAACTTCTTCATGGGAAAATAGCTCATCTTTCTCTAGTCCAAAGGCAGGCGTCACAGCAGGGGCTTTTGGGAAAGTAGTCCCAAGACTCTGCAGAGTCACTGCACTTATTGAGGCTGTACGTTGTACTTTGGAGTGGGCAGTCCTGCTTTGGAAAGGCTATCCAAGCCCAATATTATTTTAAAAAGAGAGCCATCACAAGGAGGAATGGCTGCTTGGCAAATAGCTCTGCAGCTGCAAAAAAAACAAGCAGAGAAGTCACCTGGCCATTCTGCATGTCACCCTGCAAACTTCAGCTATGGGATGATGATGATGATGATGATGATGATGATGATGATGATGATGATTTAAACTGTGGGCCTGCACAGCTTTCTAAATTTGCATCTGCACAAAATTTCATGCAATCCTCTTTTGTCCTGATTTTTGGAGACGCATTTTGTCTTTTTGTGTAATGAATAAATGGCCACTTTACCTATGCTAGTGCACTCACTAGAGAACTGGAAGTGAGTAAAGCCATCTCTTCATTCGGTGGCAAGTATCTCAGTTGGTGCAACAACCCCGAAAATAATAGCCATGAGGAGACTGGGTCCCAGATCCATTCAGCTCCTGTTTTCAAAAAACCATCCCCATTTGGTGGATTACGTATAACTAAGTCAAAAGGCTCATTAAAAAAAAAAAAAATCTTCCCCTCTAAGGAGTTTATATAAATAACTTTCTTCTGAAAGAAAAATCTCAGGGCAAAACAATTGTTGCACATAAAAGGAGATGGAACTTGATATAAAAGGAAGCAAAACTTAGCCAGCATGGTGCAGTCATTAAAAGCATTGGAGTGGAAGTCAGGAAATCTGGATTCTAGTCCCCACTCAGTTGTGGAGCTCACTGGGTGACTTTGGGCCAGTCACAGACTCACTGGTGTAACCTAACCTCACAGGGTTGTTGTTGTGGGGATAAGACTGAGAGCAGGAGGAGAATGATGTAAGCCACTTTGCATTCTTAAAAAAAGAAAAAGGGATTTAAATCTAATAAATAAAGACAGTACCTGGGCCACTTCCTAACTCTCAGCCTAACCTACCCCACAGGGTTGTTGTGACAGTAAAATGAAAGGAAGACCTTGTAAACTACCTTGGGTTTCTTGCAAGAGGAAGAAAGGCAGGATATGAATGTATCACAATAATAATGTAAAAATAAAAATGCACAGTACGCACATTTCTTGGAAAAATGTGAGAGAGAACAGGGTGCCCTTGTAATATCAAGACCTGGGAGTCTGGGTTTCTTTAAATCAATGAACCTGTGCCAATTCTTACCTTGGAAATAAATGTGCATTTTGATGTGGTTTTGAAATCAAAGTAGATATGTACTTGACTATGTAGGTCACACCACACGTTTGCTGGATAAGATCACTTGCCTACAAGCATGTGCCATCCTGTTACATGGAATAAAACCAAAGTGGAGGTGAACTCTGAGCTGTGTGCACCCTGGCTATGCAGTGCCAGCTCCAGATTTTTGTGAGCTCTTGGGGAAGGCATCAACAGTGGGCTCCTCCCTCAGTGAACCTTCTTCCTCACAGCCATTGTCCTCAGCTGCTGTGCGTCTTGTCCTCTTTCTTTCCAGTGCTA